CTATGTTTTCACTACAGGATTATCTAGGCAAGTTGCATTAGTACTTATAATTAAACACTTGCTTTCTCAATAATTAATGGTAATGGAGCACATTGTTATTTTGGGTTGCAGGTTCCCAAACATAGTATTTAAAGAAAATAAATGTTCAACTGTAGGTGGGCTGGATTTCAAAATGCGAATAGCTGACCCTGTGACAACACTTACCCTACTAACTTTGTTTCTAATGAAAGCTAGAGCATCAACTGTCTTTTAGGAAGTGTTTTTTTACCCAGCACCAGAGTTCTGCCATTCAGCCAGTTCTCTATCCACTTCACCGACCACTCATCCAGCCCACACTTCCTGAGCTTCCCTAGGAGGATATTATGGGAGACTATGTCAAAAGCCTTGCTGAAGTCTAGGTAGACAACTTCCACGGCTTCTCCATTCTGTATTTGTCATGTGTTGACATGGACCAGTAGCCTGGCTGTTTTTTGCCATTGATTTTAATTTATGTTTCTAAAACTGAGTCTGCAGCCCATGATGAAGACCATGGTGAGGTAGGCCGTGCCCCTGTAGCCCATGGAGGTCCATGATGCAGCAGATCTCCACCTGCATTCCATGGAGGACCCCATGCTGGAGCAGGTCGATGGATGCCTGAAGGAAGCTGTGACCCTGTGGGAAACCCATGCTGAAGTAGGTTCCTGCCAGGACCTGTGGACCCATGGAGAGAGGAGCCCATGCTGGAGCCGCTCTGCTGGCAGTGCTTGTGACCCCTTGGGGGACCCACGCTAGAGCAGCCTGTCCCTGAAGGACTGTGCCCTGTGGTGAGGACCCGTGCTGGAGCAGTTTTTGAAGGACTGTCTCCCATGGGAGGGCCCCCATGCTGGAGCAGAAGAACAGCATGAGGAGGAAGGAACAGCAGAGAGGAGCTGTTACAGACTGACCACAACCTCCATTCCCCATCTCCCTGCATTGCTCGAGGGGAGAGGGACGTAGAGGAGTGGGAAGTGAAGGAGTGAAGTTGAGGCTGTGAAGAAGAGGGATGGGGGAGAGATGTTTTTAACTTTGTTGTTCATCCTCACCATGTTACCCAATTTTAACTGGTGACAAATTAAATCAGTCTTGCCCAAGTAAAATCTGTTTTGCTTATGATGGTAATTACTGCTATTAGTTTCATTGACAGGATTCTGTTCCATATTGGCTGTTTCAGTTAATACATAATTTATACATTATAAACTGCTTAAAAGAGTGCATGATTTGGTATTTGTTTGTGTGCAGTGTTATAACACATTTTCAGTGTCTGAGGCTGTGTGTTTATTGAGTAATCAGGGAAAAGTTCTCTAGATGAAGACTACTATTAGTATAAACTGACTTGGAAAAGTCTGTTGCCGTTATTGCCTAATAAACTGGTGTCTAAAATATTATACTTAAATTGTGGAAGAAGTTGTTTGAGTGTGCAAATGGGATATTTTAAAAATGAAGATTCTGTATGTATTGCAAGTCTTCCTCTCTGGTAACTTAATGCTCTGAAGGGATGGGCTTGTTTCTGATTTGGACTTTCCGAATTAAAGATTTTCCTATGATTATATTGCCCCTTTACTCCACTCTCGTGAGACCCCACCTGGAGTACTGTGTCCAGGTCTGGAGACCCCAGCACAAGAAGGTCATGGATGTGTTGGAGTGGGTCCAGAGGAGGGCCACGAAGATGATCCGAGGGCTGGAGCACCTCTCCTATGAGGGCAGGCTGAGGGAGTTGGGGCTGTTCAGCCTGGAGAAGAGAAGGCTGCGGGGTGACCTTAGAGCAGCCTTCCAGTACCTGAAGGGGACCTACAGGAAGGATGGAGAGGGACTTTTGACAAGGGCGTGTAGTGATAGGACAAGGGGGAATGGCTGTAAACTAAAAGAGGGCAGATTTAGATTAGATATTAGGAAGAAATTCTTCACCATGAGGGTGGTGAAACACTGGCACAGGTTGCC